AGTTGAGGTATGAGTGCCGGAAAACTCAGGAGCGCTGAATGAATATTGTAGTGAGGAAACCGAGGATTGATCTCAGAGATCCTGGCCCCTTGTTAACCCCAGAGTAGGACCAGAAGTGTTGATTCTTGCTGCTGACCAAGTAGCCACAGGGAGTTGGACTTGCTGGCATTTCCTTGTGAGGTCAAGCTCTCAGGTCACCCACCCTTAAAAATCTAGATCCCCCTCAAAAACAAAGCTTTCCTAAACAGTTGGCTCCTGTTGGAGCCTTCCTTGATCATTCCGCTATATGGGGTAACTCAAGAAACAGATTCTGAAGATTACCCTGTCGCCTTAGTACTGACTGGACAATTCAAAGCAACACAGAACAGCCCAAGCCTAAAATAAATGGGCTCAGGCTTAGTATCACTTGAAAAAAGAGAGATGTTGACTCCCTTCTCATCCAAGTAGTGTGAGCAGCTATGATGCTTTCCACCCTGGTAACCATCGGTCTTCTCCTGGTGTTTTAAGGAACATGCTGTTGTTCGGTCATTTCAGTCACGTCCAACTCTGTGACCCCATTGGGGTTTTCTTGGCAAAGACACTTGGAGCAGTTGGCCATTTTTTTTCTCCAGTTGATTAAGGCAAACAGAGGTTAAGTGACTTGCCCCCTCCCAATCCCATGATCCTAAGACTCAATAAGTGGATGGCCACGGAGGGTATGGAACCAAGTAAAGGATTAAGAGTGAGGTCATGTCCAGACTCCAGATCCTAAAGTCCAGAATAAGGTTGTGAGGCAAAGTCAATAAGCAAGCTAGTTATTCCACTCCAACTATCTTCCTGCAATGCACCCTTGGGCTGCTGTTTTACCCTGAGATACAGAGACCACTGTAACTGATAGCTCAGATAGAGATTAGAAAGCATTAATAAGACTGTTGTGGGAGAAATGCCTCCTCTCTGAGTTCACATGGTGTATAACTGCTGCCAAAATATATTTACCACCATGCAGAAATTATAGAGATAAAAACCTAGGTTTTATCATGCTCAATCATAGGTTCAGGCCTCAGAGAAAACCTAAACAATCAACAGGATTCAGACAAGGTCTCTTACAGGCAAAAATATGCCTTTGACAGAGTAATAATTTGTTTACATATTGCAGTCTTATACATTCCTTTTAGGCCATAAAAGCTAAAGAAAAGACAAATTCATAATATACATCCTTCAGTGTCATAAAAGTTGAACAAACAGTTAAGCGGAGTCATAACCTCACACATACCCTAAGGAAACAAACTTTATTAAACAAACTCCATAGGTAAACTAAGTTAGGTGACAGATTAAACTACATTTAGAGGGGTCACAAATAGGCTGACTGAGGGGAAAGATTTACATGTGGCCAAGGAGTCAGAGATTGTTGAGATTCTTCTCCTCCAGCTTTTCCTCTAAGGAATGTTGAAGACTTTAAGTACATTTTCATATCCCATGAGACAGATTTTGGGTCAACTCAACAACTTTTCAATTAAGAGAAATGACCTTGACCCTCCCTTAACATTATTATTCCATAAGTCAGGTTTTGGTCAGGCAAGGTTAATTTTAACAGAAGACAGATTATTAGTTAAAAAAAATTTGCAGGAGGAATGGCCCTGAGTCCCAAATAATAAAAGGAAATAAAAAGACACTAATCCCCAGAATTAATAAATGATTTTGCTTTCCTCATTAGACAACTGGCCTAATTTGCTTCTTTTTCCTTTTTTTTTTTTAATAGTGGATGGAGCCATGGAACTCTTACCTGAGGCTATGCTGTCTTGACTGGTGAGTTCTCATAAAGCCAACTCTATCTAGGCAGCCCCAGACCATAGACAATACTTCACTCCACCACCCTTCTGGCTATCCTGCCATTCACATTATGCCTTTGCACCCTTTACATCTCTTGATCAGAGAGAGTAAAATTAACACTATTCACTGCTTCTGGAAAGGGTTTGTAATAGCTTTCTCTATGGCTCCACTATCCCTGTGACTTCCCTGAACAAAACACCCTTCCTGGCCACCATTCACCCTATATCTGTTGTCTCTCCCACCAGAATGTAAACTCCTTGAAGGTAAGGGCTATTCATCTTTTTTATTTGTATCCCTAATATTTAGCATGGTGCCTGACTTAATAAATGCTTTTTTCATGCATGATTCAAAATAATATGCCGCATCCAACCTCTTTTCCCTCATCTAGAGGAGCCTATTTCTGGATCTATCAACTTGGGAAAGACAAGACCTTTAGAAAACCGATAGAAGAAATAAACAATGTTGAATTTTAAGTCAGAAGTCCTGGGGTTCAAATCACATCTCTGCCATGTGACCTGCGTGACTTTGGGCAAATCATTTTACTTATCTGGGCCTCAATTTTTCATCTGTACAATTAAAGGGTTGAATTAGATGATCTCTAACGTGCCCCTATTAAACACGAGGTTGGCAGTTGATGGCATAGGAATTGCTCAGCTTCAAAAATAAAAAGAGTAAAGGACATGATAATCATCTTCCTACCCCCAGGACCTCAACCCTCCCATCTGGCTAAAGGTTACTGTGGAGGGAAATAATAGCTAGTTGTTCCCCAAGGGAAGGACAGGGGGGTAATAGATACCAAGTACAACTTCCCCCAAAACACATAGAGAACAATGGAGAACCGTTATGCTGCCTCCCATCCGTAGCACTCCCCTCCCCTCCCCCCAGGCCTATTCCCCAGGCAAGAATAATTGCCTAGGCATTCTGGAACCATTGTGTTCATTTAAATTGCTAATTCTCCAGCTCAGTGACTCCGGCAGAGTGAATATCTGTAGGAGAATGCCCTCGGTAATTAATGCTGAAGGGCGCTTGTGGAAATAAATATATTTTCAGCTTCTTGTAAAGCCAGGAAGATGGATTCAAGAAGATGGTTTACTTACACAGTCTAGCAGAAAGAGAACTGGACTAGCCCTGGACTGGGAGTTGGATCTGGGTTTAAGCCCAGGCTCTGCTATTTATTGGGTGACTCTGGGGGAGTCACTTTACCCTTCTAAATGTGTTTCCTCATCTATGAAAAAGGGATACCAATCCTTGCCTTGCTCACCTCATAGGGTCCTTATGAGGGTCAAATGACACAAAAGTGTCTAAAAATACCTTTTGATTGTAAAGTGTGATATCTACATGTAAGCTGCAACCAGAATCTCCTAAAGCAAGATATGCCTGCATCTTGAGTGGGAAAACAGGGAGCCAGCCCTGTGTCACGTGGAGAACAGCGCCCTGGGACACGTGCCCCTCACCCCAGGAGCATGGCACAGTTAGTATTAGACTTGAGGGAGGAAAAACACCACCAAGATCCTGCTCTGAAGCTCACTTGCAGCATGACCACCAGGACAACCTCTCTGAGCCTCCTTCCAAATTCATGTTGATTTTAGTTATTGCTATTAGTAGTAGTATTATTATCCCATCTGGTCAAACTACTTTATTGTTCAGACTCAATTTCCTCATTTGTAAACAACGGCTCACATTTATATGGCATTATAGGGTTTGCCAAGCACTTCTAATCCGGAGTGTCCCAAAAGTCTTAGTTCAGTTTCAAGCTTTAATATGCTTACAATTTACATTTAACCTTTAATAAGTATAAAACTGGGACAGCTAAATGGTACAGTGAATAGTGCACCAGCCCTGATCAGGAAGCCCTAAATTCAAATCTGGCCTCAGACACGTACTAGCTGTGTGATGCTGGGCAAGTCTATTAACCCTGTTTGTCTCAGTTTCCCCCATCAACAAAATGAGCTGGAGAAAGAAATGGCAAACCACTCCACTATCTTTGCCAAGAAAACTACAAAAAGGGTCATGAAAAGTCAGACTCAACTGAAAAACGATTAAACAAATGTAAAACTTCAGTAAGACTTTGGGGACATGCCTGTATATGGTCTCCTTTGATCCTCACAACCTCACTAATACATTATTGTCATTCTGCTACTTCGAGCATCTTGTGGCAGGGATACCCCCATAGTAGATGGTATCCTTGAGCTGTGTGGTTGGAAATAAATATTCATTCCTTGGTTGGCTGGCCATCCCTGGGATGAAGAAGAGCCTCTTCACATCTGCCTGGGCCAGTTTTTGGATGCCAGTTTGTTCTTAGATTATCTGTACCTGAAGCCTCTGGCTGAGGAGAACCTCTGGCAAGGCAGAGCTCCTGGCCTCCTGGGACAGGCTGGGGAATCTCCATGCCACAAAGCAACTCTGAACAAAAACTATATAGTGGATGACTACTCTATGGCACTCCAAGCCTTACCATCTGCCTTGCCGTTATGGCCTATAAATCTCTAGAACTTACATGGTAATTTGACCTGCTGATATAACCTAATGATCTCTGGGCCTTGCCATGGGCCCCAGCACAGGTCCCTCAGGACTTCTGATCCTTGTACCTGAGTTTTCTTTAGGTATGGTCTCTCCAAATTAGAATGTTTGATGAGTTCTTGCTTTGAGAGTGAGAACTGGGGGTCAGCTTTTTCTGTTCCTATCCCCAGCACTTAGCACTGGACCTGACATACAATAAGCACTTAATAAAGGCTTATTTATTCAGGTCAATGATAACAATGAATGAGGATACTTGTTAAACCAAATTGTCCCTTAACTGGTGGAAACAGGTAATGCAAGAAATAAAAAAGGGACAAAGAAGTTTTAGACAAAATCACTCAGGCTGGGACTTCACCTCCCTCTGGATATTTGACCACTACACACACTAACCTCCCAGTGCCTGAAATACAGGGGTCAGGCCAGACCACCTCTCATCCATACAGCCACCTTTGGCAGGTTTGCTATTTCCTGAATTATACAAATGTATTACAATATTGTTCTGATTATTGTGAAGAAGGCCTATGTCTATGACTTGAGTACCCTGGGGCCCATACAGGCTAGTGTGGAAGGTACCCAAGGCTTAAGAGTATTCCCAGAGTTCTGATTTTTCTCAGAGTTCTAAAGACCTGAGTCTAAACGGCTTGAGAAATCTCAAAATTGACACTGTACACTGGAATTTGAAGGTGATTAATTTTTGTTTATAAAAACAAAGGCAACCCCAAGCAAAGATCCCTTTCTTTTCCAGCACAAAATAAAATGGAGAAAATGGAAAAAAGCCAACATTTCATCTGGATCAGGTTGGGTCCTTTCTTGTGGCATCTGTAGGATCTGAGCTGCTTTCCCCCTCAGAGGGTGAAGCAGATTTTGGTCCATCCTCAGCCCTCGAAATAATTTCGAGAATCTCCTCACCCGTCACACGCCTCACCTTCTCTCCTCGAGCTGCCAGGATTTCTTCAATGTTCCTAAAGACAAAATATCCCAATGTGAGACTGTGGTTGTCAGCTTTCCTTCACGCTCAACTAGAATTACACATGAAATCTGCACCTGAAGATGCAGGCTCAGACCTGGGTGCTTGGCTTCAGCTACCACCTACAAATGCATCACCCTATTCTTGCTGACTCTCTAGAAGGCAGTAACTACTGGGTTTCTGCGTGCTTTGCCACCTCTCTCTCTCAAAGAGTGCACAATCTACAGTAGGTGCTAAAAGGGTGTTTGCTAAATGAACAAGCAAATCAAATTAACACCCTAAATTCCTGGATCTGCAAACAGGGAGCCATTTAGTACCAGAAGGAAGAGAAGATGGAAGTATTTAATCACTCTTTCCTAAGTTCAGGGCTGGCCCTAAACAAAATTTTCAAACAGTGAAAGTTAATTTCCATATTCGCCTACATCTCTTTCTGCATACCTCTCTCACTAACTCGGGAACTTTCTATCCTGGCTCCTGGGCCCTTGGTGTGCCCACGAAGCCTTAAGCATCCAGGTTTATCATCCCAAAACAGGATTAACTTCAGCAAACACAGAGCTCCAAATTCCAAAATACCTTCCTAGGCAGCTAGGTGGCACAGTGGATAGGGTGCTGGATCAGCAGTCAGGAAGACCAGAGTTCAAATCCAGCCTCAGACACTTCCTAGCTTTGTGACCCTGTCAAGTCACTTAACCTCTATCCACCTCACTTTCATATAATACCAATTATAAAAATGGGGATAATAATAGCACCTACCTCCCAGGGATGATAAGGGACAACAGGCACTTAATGCTTTGTTCTCGACCTTCCCACCTTTACTTCCCTTAATCAAAAACTGTCATTCCTTAAGTGTAGCTGTTGAAAATAGGTGCCTAGAGAAAACCAAACTACCTGAACTAATTCTCACTAGAGTATAACTTATTGACATCCCCTTAAATCTCAAAAGACAGGACATTCATTTTTTAACGTGATGCTCATTGAACCAAATTATCTGTAGCTGTTGGCATTCCAGGAAGCTCAACAAAGGAAGTGAAAAACTCGGGGGAGGTGACAGGCAGAGGCACAACACTCTGAGGGAGAGGGGCCACCTCACAGGGAAGCAGCTGTGCCAGGAATCTGCTCCTCGTGTGATCAGATCTACCAATAAGTTCCTGCTTTTCACAATGATAAGCAGTAGAAGAAGCCCTGGCAGGGAGTCGTTCTGGCAGTGACAGATGTCTGGACCTAGCACACATCTTCTGGGTGGCTGGAAAGGGAGGGTTCTCTGTATGGCAAAGTGCAGAATAACAAGATAGCTTTACTTCTTTTAAAGAAAAACTTTGATATTTTATTTTTTTCCAATTACATTTTAAAAAATTCTTTATAAAATTTTTTTTGAGTTCCAAATTCTCTCCTTCACTCTCTTCCCTGCCCCTCATTGAGAAGGCAAAAAATCTGAAATAGGAATAACAAGCTATCTTAAAATTTTTTTTCTTATAATGATTTTAACTGGTTTCTGAGTATTTCAAATGATGTAGGTGTGACTGTGGGGGGAAATAAAGTTCACACTCCATTGGGGAAATAAAGTTCACACTCCATTTGGGGAAGACAGCGTACTAGAGTGTGTATCGGGAGACCCAGGTTCCAGTCAGAACTGCCATTTACCAGCTGTTTAACTGTGGCCAAGTCACTTGACTTTTCTAGTCAAGCCTCAGATTCTTTAAAATGGGGATAATATTTGCACTGCCTACCTCTCATGATTACTATGAAGAAAAACACTTGGTAACCCTTTAAAAGGCTAAAGAAATGGCAATTATTATCATTATTAAGTGCATCTGTTTTTAACACAAACATGAATGTTTTGGTATCAGAATTCTGGCTACTGATGAGTTTGTGAGTCAGGACACCATGTGACTAGCTTCCTCTTGAAAAACCAAAAAGAATTCATTTCTGGATTATCACTGGGACTGATTCCAACACTTACACCCAAAGGGACTTAATTGATTTTCATGAAAATTGAGTACTCACTTCTTCCCATCCAGGTCTGAAAACCAGCCCAGGTTGTCAGCAATAACATGATGGTTCTGACAGCTGGGACATGTCACAATCACCACGCCAGTATGATAGGCAAGCTTGGAGATCCTTTTAGCTGACCTCGTCCAACAGACCTGAGAGAAAGAGCAGCACTGTCAACTGGTCACCATCACTGACTCCCACTACATATCCCTACTACATTCTGCCCCTGAAACAGCATGGCTTCGGCCCGATTACCCTCTCTTCGGAGAATCATGTACTCAGAGAGAGGGGGCATGATGTAGTCAGTGGAAACAATACTGGACTTGGTGTCAAGAGCTGGATTCTAATCTGATGCTGCTGTTTACTAGTTGTGTGTGACCCTGGGAAAGTTTCCTTGCTGAAACTGAGCCTTAGTTTCCTCACCTGTAAAATAGGTATAATACACTTCCTCCCTCTGGGGTTGTGATGAAAGTGCTACGTAAAAGGTAAAGGACTAGACAAATTCGAACAGTTTTATTATTATTATTTCTTCTTTGGATGCCTTGGTCAGGGTTGAACATCATACAGGTGCTTCCAAAATTCACCTAATGCTTTATGAGCATCCTAGGTCAACAAAGACCTCCTTATACTTACCCATATCCCGTCTACCCAGTGCTGTCTCACCTCACCCCTAATCTTCCCACCTCTGTCTTGCAGGCCAGCCACACAGCCTGTCCCTGCTCCTCTCCTACCATTAGTCACGACAAATAATAATAACACCTCACATTTATAGTGCTTTTAAAGTTTACAAAGACTCCCCCCATACCCACCCAGTAACCTAGTAGGTAGATGGTACAAGTACTGTTTCCATTCTACAGATGGGTAAACTAAAAATCAGAGGGAAGAGGCTTGCCCACCTTCACCTGTACTTTGAAATCATCTGTGGCCACATTCTTCAAACCCCACTAACTGTTCCACATCCTTAGCCCCATTATTCACTTTCTTCTTAATCCCCACTCTTATTGTGCTTCTACTAATAATAATAGCTAATATTTATATTATGTGCCAAGCACTGTGCTAAGTGTTCCAAGGAGGGAAAGGGTCCCATTTCTTCCCTCCTATTCACCCTTCATTCTTCAGTCCTGTGTGCCCAGAGCCACACCTTCCCCTACTCAAGTCAAATCAAACAAGCATTTATTAAGCACCTACTATATGCCAGGCACTGTGACAAACTATTTCCCCAAATCTCTCAGTCCCATTTCTCTGCTTCCTCTTATCTCCCAGCCCTCTAATTCAAACACGGGCCTGCCCCAAAAGCCCCAATCTCTACATCCCCTAGGCCTGTAGGTCTTCTTCCCCTACTTAAAGCCCCTGGAACCCCCAAACCTTGGTTCCCAGTTCTCAGACCTATACCTCTCTTCCCTTCCCCTAGCCCAAAGGACTTTGATACCTTGAAAGCAACAGAAATTCGAGTTACCACTGAGCCTTTTTCCCTGAGCCCTTAGCCCAAGCCTTCCCTTCCCTAGAGGCAGTTAGATGGTACAATGGAGTCAGGAAGAACTGAGTTCAGATCCAACCTCAGACCCTTATTAGTTGTGTGATTTAAGTCATTTAAACTTTGTTTGCCTCAATTTCCTCCATCTGTAAAATGGGGATAACAACAGCATCTACCTCTCAAGGTTGTGAGGATGAGATGATAATTGTCAAACACTTAGTACAATGCCTGGCACATAGTGACATAGAAATGTTAGCTACTATTATTAACAGAACCCTCTCTCCTATTCCATTCTATGAAAGGGGCCACCACCAGCTGTGGAAAGAGCCACAGAGCCTGGGAGTCAGAACTGGATTCTAGTTCTGGCTCCGCTTGCACCGCAACTGTGTGACCCTGGGCAAGTCACCGCCCCTCTCTGAGCCCAAGTACTCCCCATCTTTATTTTTAAAATCGTATATTTAGAAATGGAAAAGCCCTAAGCCTAGGCTGGCGGTTCTTCTAGTGCGGTGCGGAAATGCTGGAAGGTCACACAGCTACTTTCCTAATACTCCTACGACGCTCTGGGGGCCACCGCGGCGGACCGGGCAAACAGAGACCCAGGCTGGGCTCTCGGGGACTGCTCCGGATCGGCGGGGGCGGGGATCCGTCAGTTTCACGCCTGCACCGCTTCCGCTCCGCTGCCCACGAGGTTTGAACGCCCCGCGGCCTAATGTTCCGCGTCGCGTCGCGCCCCGCGCCCCATTCGGGTTCGAGAAGCCCGCACCCCTCCGCAGACCTAGCCTCCGCCTCGTACGCCAGGGGCCCACCTTGCAGGTGTAGACCAGCTGGTAGTGAGAGGCCTGTACCCGGCCTAGCGCAGCCGCGGGCTGGGGCCCCGAGTCTGGCCCGGAACTCAGCGGGCGCCGCCAGCACCGCAGCCCGCCCGCCGGACTGGGCCACGGCCGCCTCTTCCCGATGCCGTCTCGGATGCATCCCTGACGAGAGCCAGACCCGGTGCCGGGGACCGAGGCTCGGGCCAGCAGCGCCAGCCGCCATCCCCACGCCGCGGTCCGCTGCATGCTTCCGCCTACTCCCTAATGGGCAGACGAAGCCGTGCCGCCGCCATCTTGGAGTTGGGCAACGCGTCGCCTATGGCAACGTCAGCCGGGAGAGCTGACCTTCCGCTGCTCTGCCCCCTGCCGGCTGGAGCGGCTCACTGCAGCGCCCTCCTTTCTCGACTGGGGAACGGGGCAGAAAGTCCAGCTCCAGTCTTCAAAGTTATGGGCGTTCTGTTTTAAGGATACTGACAGCCTGGAGAATGTCCAGAGGAGAGCAGCCAGGTTGGAGAAGGGCTTGAGTCCATTGTCATAAGAGGACTGGTTGAAGGAGAGTAGACTGCAGGGGAATCAAACCTGTTAGCAGTCTTCACGCATTTGAAGGGCTGCCACGGGGAGGTCGCAGACTTGTTCCAGCAAGCCCCAGAGGGCCGAGCCAGGAGCACTGGGTAGCAGTTGCAGAGTGGCTAATTTCAGCTTGTTAGGAAAAACTTGCTAATACTTAAAGCTGTCCAGAAGTAGAATGAGTTCCCTCCGGAAGTGGTGGGGCCCCCTCACCCCATGGAAATCAGAGGCTGGGTGATCACTTTCTCCGTGGTATAATGCAGATTTCTTTTATACATGGATTGGGCTAAATGGCTGATCAGATCAATCAAACATTTCCTTTCAAACTTTCCAATTGTGTGACAGGATCATAGACTAGAAAGGATCATAAGATGATACTTTAGAGCTGGGAGGGACCTCAGAGGCTAACTACTCCAACCCTCTCATTTTACAGATGAGGAAACTGAGGCCCAGAGGTAAGCTTACTTGCCCAAGGTCACACAGGTAGGAAGCATCAGAAATGAGACTTTGAACCCAAGTCCTCTAATTCCAGAGCCAGAGCTTATTTTGGTACACTACACCACCTCTCTGGGCCTCAGTTTCCACATCTGTAAAATGAGGTTGCACTAGATGCTCTTTAAGGTCCCCTCCAGCTCTAGAGCATGTTATCATTCCAGTTTGCTCCCATAGCTCTCTTGTGACCAGAATTCATGAGACAGTTTGTGACTGGGGTTAAGACTTCCTCTTAGAGCTAGAAGCATTGGGATCTGCTTGAGAGGAGTAACAGCTCTTGTTTTGATGGTTTTAAAGTGCCTACTCTGATCTAGACACAGCAGAAAAGATACACTGCTCAGTCATTGCCGTCACGGTCACCAAGAAGAAAAGTCCAAGGAGGACCTTTCAGACCTATCCTTTTCCTGCAGGTGACGCAACACTACTCCCTCTGAAGTCTCAATCTCCAATGTCCATCCACAGGAAGGCAGATATTTGGCATTTGTCCACTCTGCTGGCTTAACAACTGCAGACGAGTGAGAGCATCATGAGATCGTTGGAAGACCTAGTCTACAGGAAGGCAACGGTCCAGGCGTATGTTATCAACCAATCAGCAAGCATTTATTAAGTACCTACTATGTGCCAGGCACTTTGCTAGGCACTGGGGATACAAAGACTAAAATGAAAGCAGTCTCTTACCTCTAGGAGCATACAGTTAAGGCTGGGGAGATGTGCATATTTAGGTAAGATACAAAATTGATACAAGGGGGTTTTGAGGGGAAGGCATTAACAGTCAGGTGCATCAGGTAAGGCATCATGTAGAAGGTGACAATTCAGCTGAGCCTGGAAGGAAGCCAAGAATTCTGAGAGAAAAAGCTAGAGAAGGAGTAGCTTCCCAGGCATGGAAGACAGCTGTGCAAAGAAAGGCATGGAACCAGGAGACAGTATAATGGATGAGGAAGTAAGACGGCCTGTTCAACAAGAGTACAGTGTGCACAAAGGGGAAATACTTTTCCATAAGGATGGCAAGGAAACCATAACCAGGTTGTGGAGGGCTTTAAAGACCAACCAGAAGAGCTTAGATTTGATCCTGGAGGTAATAGGGAACCTTGTACTCTTCCTTAACTATCTAGAAAATAACCACTGGACATCAAGAAGCCAAGTGCTGCAGGACGGTGTCCCAGTAACACAGGACAGGAGTTCCTCTCCACTCCACTTGACTCATGTGGTTCTGGAGTTAACGGCTGCCCATTCACACAAGCCTTCCACTTGTTTCCAGTAAGCATGTGTTAAGTTCTTTCAGGAGCTGGTTGAAAAGGTGCAGATGTTTCTTCCATTAGGGCTTCACTTTTTTTTTTTAAACATTCAAAGTACCTTTTCCCAAAGTGTTCAGGGTAAGTGGATAAACAAAGTTGTTTCGAGCCTCCCCATTCCTCTGAAACCGTCCTTTCCAGTTACTAATGGTCTCAATAGCCAAATCTAAAGGCTTTTTCTCAATTTTCTTTGTTCTTGACTTCTCTGCAAGATTTCATTGTTGACCACCTTTCCTTTCTGCATTCTCCTCCCTCGCTGCTTCTGTCTGTTGGACCACTGCTCTTCAGTTTCCTTTGCTGGATTGTCTTCTTTATCTCGCCCCTTAACTGTGTTTGTACCTCAAAGTTTTGTTCTGGGTTCTCTTCTTTCTCTGTATTCTATGTCTTGATGACCTCATCAGTTCCCATAAGTTTAATTAACCATTGCGATGCAAATGACTCCCAGATCTATATATCCATCCCTAGTTTGTCTCCTGAGCTCCGGCCCTACCTCATCAACTAACTAACCATTGGACATTTTGAACTGGTTGCTTTGTTGGTTTCTCATATTTAACATGTCCAAAACAGAATCATTATCTTTCTCCAAAAGCTCACCTGTCTTCTGAGCTTCCCTACTTTAGTCAAGGGCATCACCATCTTTCCAGTTACACAGGTTCACAGACTGGGAGTCACCCCTGACTCCTCTCTCTCCCTTCCCCCATGCACTCACTTTCCATTCTCTCTGCATAGCATCTGTTGTACATGACACCTCTTTACTCACACAGCCACCACTTGAGTTAAGTCCTCAACACAAGTTCTAGTAGCCTCCTAACTGGTTTCCTTGCCTCGAGTCTCTGCCTTTTCAGTCTGTCTTCCCTACAGATGCCAAAGTGCCATGCCCAAACACAAGTGTGACCTGCCCAAGGAGCTTCAGTGGCTCCCTGAAGATAAACTCATGTTTGGCACTTAAAGCCTGATCCTGACCTACTTTTCCAAGACTATTACATATGATTTTTCTTTGGTTAAGCATGTCTTCTTACCGTACCTGACATAAGGCACTCTCTTGCTTTTGCTGTCTTTCTATTTCTCTCTGTCTCTCTTTCCCCTCTCTCATATCTCTCTATCTTTATATGGGCTGCCCCCCATCACTGGAATTTACTCCCCTGCTCACCTCCCCCTCTCACAATTCTTTCAAAACTCTGTTCGTGTCACTTCCTACCAGAAGCCTTTCCTGATATGACACCTCCCCCCTGCCCCAGAAGCTAATACCTCCTCCCTCAAAAAATTAACTTGTATTTGTATTGCATACACTTATTTGTGTACAAGCAGGGACTGTTCAATTTCTATCTTTGCACCCCAGAACTTACTATAGTAAGAGCTTATTGATTATTAAAGGGTGGTCCTGAAAGCTACTCATTTGTAAATGAAATGGTGCTGATTATAAAATTTCACAAGCCAATATGTATCTAAGTAGGAAGTTTATCACTGGGAAGCAGAGAGAAGAGCAAGATTTCAAGCCTGGCACGTTTATAAACAGATGTTCTGTCAATACCTGATGGCATATTTCCCTACTTCAAGATCTTGTACTAATCATTCTCTTCTCCCTCTATGCCATTTCACTTAGTGATCTCATCAGCTCCCGAGGATTCAATTAACATCTCTATGCTGCTGATGCTTAGAACTACTTATCCTACCCTAATCTCTCTCCTGAGCACCAGTCTCATGTTTCTAATTGTCTGTTGGGCATCTAGCTAGGTGACTTAGTGAGTAGGGCCCTGGGCCTGGAGTCAGGAAAGCTGAGTTCTATTGTGGCCTCAGACACTCACTAGCTGTATGACTAGCAAGTCACTTAACCTCTGTTTACCTTATATACTGGAGAAGGAAATGACAAACCACTCGAGTATCTTTACCAAGAAAACCCCATGGATGGTATTGGTGTCAGTGGAGTCATCAAGAGTTGGATATGACTGGATGACTAAACGATAACATTGGACATCTCAAAATGGATTACCTGTGGACACCCGTAGACTCCAGGCCCAGCACTCTATCCACTGAGCCACCTATCTGCCTATTGTATTAATTTATACACATACAGCTGTAACTCCCCAGTAAGATGTAAGCTCTTTGAAAGCAAGCATAACTTCCTTTCTGTCTTTATATCCCTAGTACAATTACTTGTATATCATAGATATTTAGTAAGATTTGTAAATGGGATTATTAATACTATAATCATTTGAACCGGATTTATTATTGCATCATTTTGAGGAACTCTTGTGTAGAAACTGCCTTCTCTGATGCAGAATGGTGACATCTCTTTAATTTAGATTCATAAAGAATGCTTAGGGCTCTGAGAATGCCCTAGCATGACTTGTCCATGGTCACAGAGCTAGTATGTGTCAGAAGAAAGACTTGTACAAAGGTCTTCCTGCCTCAAGACTGGCTGTCCATCCCCTGAGCCAAGAGTTTTCCAACCTCTTTTTGTGTCTTAGAACATAGTGAAGTCTATGGACTCCTCAGAATAGTGTCAATAATTACAAAGGAAATGAATTATATTGAAATATACTTATCAAAATTTTTTTTTAAAGTTCACAGACTCCAGGTTAAGAACCTTTGCCTTAAGCTATGTATTACTGATGATGGTGATTACTGTAATTATGATTGTAATTATTATTATTACCCTAATAGCTTCTTCCTGTGCTTCTTTATGTTGTGGAGGTGATCCTGGGTTACACCAGGAAAGTGCAAGCTCTGGAAAGTCCTCCCAAGGTTCAAAGGCTACTCATACACAGGTTAGCCAAGAGGTAATGAATTTTATGGCCACGGTAATTCATGGAACCATTTCTCAAGGCATGGAGGGGCTGGGATCCAAGGGAAAGAATGTCTCCACACCATATGTCCTATCCATACTTTTCCCTTCACATACACAACCAATATCCAAATTCAGGCCCCATCACCTCTCAACTCTATCATTATATTGTCCTAATGGGTCTTTCTGTTTCTAGTCTCTCCTCTTCTGTGCAGCTGCCACTAGAATCCTCCTAAAGGATCTTATCCTACTTTAGGACTACGTCACTACCCCTGATTAAAAATCTTCAGTAGCTCCCTGTTGCCTCTTTTTTTTGGTAATATTTTTTTTACACTTAAATACAAAATGAGAAAAGAAAAAAAATTGCCATGTACACAGCAGACCATGAGAGAGGATTCAATATAAAACAATTTCCATTTCAAGAAAGCTTATATAATAAATACTACACATTATTTTCAGAGCTGTCCAGCTTTTCTTTACTTCCTTTTTGGTTTCCTTTTGTTCTCTGCTGTGTACATTTTACTTTATTTTTCTCCCTTCCTCCTCCCCCAACCCTAAAGAACGCTACAATTAAGCATCGACATATATACATATACATAGATATCTATAAACATAGACATATATGTAAGAGTGTACTCTGCTTATTTCTTCTTATAATGTTTCTCTGAAGGTGCACAGCATCTTCCTTCATAAGTCCAAGTCTTTCCATGTTTTCCTAAATCAACCAGCTCCTCATTTCCTACACCACCACAATATTCCTTTTGGGATTCAAATAGCATCTTCCCTCATAGGATCTTTAAGGTTAATCTGGGTATTTATAATAGTCAGAATGACTTGGTTGTTCAAAGTTGTTCTTAAAACAATACTGCTGTTACTGTATACAATGTTCCCTTGGTTCTGCTCATTTTGCTCTTCGTTACTCCGTGGAGCTCTCTCCATGCTTTTCTAAAATCACTGAATTCATCGTTTCTTAGAGCAGAGTAATATTCCATCATAAACATATACCACAATTTATTTAGCCATTCCCCAATTGACGGGCATCCCCACAATTTCCAGTTCTTTGCCACCGCAAAGAGAGCTGCTATAAATATTTTAGAACATGTGGGTTCTTCTCCATTTTCCCTAATCCTCTTGGGAAACAGACCTACTAGTTTTATAGCTGGGTCAAAGGGTATAGGCAGTTTAACTCTTTGGGCATAATTCCAAATCTCCAAAGTGATTTGGATCAGCTCACAGATCCACCAACAATGGGTTAAGGTCCCAATTTTTCCACATCGCCTCCAACATCTGTCATTTTCCCCTTCTATCACTTTAGCCAATCTGATAGGTGCAATATGATATCTCAAGATTGTTTTAATTTGCATTCTTCCTCTTGCCTCTAAGATAGAATACAGAATCCTCAGTTTGGCATTTAAAGCCCTTCATACTCTGGCTTCTACCTGTGCTACAAAGCACACACTCCCTGCTCCATGCTTTGGGACAAACTAATCCTCATGCCTGAAATAAACTCCCTTATGACTCTTCAGCTTAGGAGCCTTAACTTCTTAATAATAATAGCTAGTATGTAGCTGGTATTTTGGTTTGCAAAGTACTTTACTTTTCTCAGTTGATCCTCGCAACTCTCTGAGGCAGATACTATTGTTATCCCCATTTTACAAATGAGGAAACTGAGGCAAACAGGATTAAGTGACTTGCCCAGGGTCACAAACCTAGTAAGTATCTGAGGCCAGATCTGAACTTAGAAAGATGAATTTTCCTGTCTCCAGGCCCAGCGCTCTATCCACTTCACTATCTTATATTCAATTCTCTGTGTATATGTTGTATCTCCTCCATAGAATGCAAACTTCTCAAAAGCAGGAATTGTTTCATTTTTTGGTTTTGTATCCTCAGCTTCCAGCACAGTGCTTGGCACAGAGTAGATGCTTAATAAATGTTTGTTGAATCAGATCAATGAAATGATAAATCTTTTGAAGTATTCAAGCAATTCATTAAAAAACATAACTCACATGTATATAACATTTTAAGATTTAAAAAGCATTTTCCTCCCAAGTATCCCATGAAGTAGGTAGTGTACATATTATTACCCCTATTTTACAGATGAGGAAACAGTTTCAAACACAAAATAATTTGCCTGGGATTACTTCCCTAATCTCTAGTGCCTACTCTCTACCCCTCAGTTTAGCCTGTATATCTCTTGTTTATGCATCTTTGTTTGCATGTTGTCTCTTCTGTTAGCTGTTTGAGGGCAGGAACTGGTTTTTTTTGCCTTCCTTTGTATCCCTATTGCTTAGCACCAAGTCTAACACATAGTAAATATTAACGCTAGTTGACTGACTGGTGTCACACAACCATTAAGAGTCAGGATTCAAATCAGCTTTCTCCTGGCTCAAACTTTAGCACACTTTCTACAGTCTAACAATTCTAATTATTATTATTATGAACAATTGATTTCCCATTATTCACAATCAGATAAGCAAAGAAATCAGTAGAGCACATCCAGATCTTTTTGCAAACAAACCAGTAAAGTTGCAGTAAATTTTCAATTATCTGCTTTGTGATTATTAAAAAAATTACTAATAACACTGTCCGTGGAAGACAGTTTGCTAGTTACCCTTAGTGTTCATTGCTTTTTTAGCACAAATCCATTTCCTTTTAATACAGTTTTATTTTGACACAGCAGACATGCCAACAAACAAACTGCACATGTATATGAGCCCCAGACAGTTGAGCAAAATGGCCTCTAAGGCTTCGTATGCTGATAATACAGATCACTTTCTATATCTTGCAGTTTTCTGTTTGTTCACATAAAGGATGGTTGGTTGGCTCCTTCAGCTTTAATAATTTGGTTCCATTGTTTTCCATCGGATTTGACCCCAGTTTTGTTGTTGTTTAATGTTGTCTTCATTCACACTGTTATTGTAATTGTTCTTTGCTTCTGTCTTCTTTATCCTATACTGTTTAAGTAAGTCTTCTTGTCTTTCTCAGAATTCTTCATATCCATCCTTCATTATGGCTACGAAATCATTTTAATGCCAATCTAAAATAATCTAATTAAGATCCTAATTCAGATCTTAAAGCCTTGGGTTCAGCAGTCCAAAATACATGACCTTCCTTCTGAATCTAAGCCACGCAGAGATGGTTTTGAGGCTGAAATGTTTTTGATTTTTGACATCCCTGTTCCATTCTATCCATACGAGTGATGGCAAATTGATTAGGCCTGTCAAAGAGGTTAAGTAAACTGGCTGGGGAGATTTAGGGCCGTGGGTTCAGCAGGCCAGTATAGCCTTAGGAGCCCTCCGTATCTGTGTTGTCACTTCCTGTGGTGTTTTCCCAGTCTACTTCTCCCTGCCGGGTTCTACGGTGAACCTTTCTATGTGCCCACTTCCTGTGAAAATGAGAAATGGGTACAAGAGTGAGAACACATCTCTGTGATTCACTGAGTCTGAACCACAAATAAAGGACTGATGGTAACTCAACTAGGGGCAAATTATGAGGTAATATATAACCCAACCCCCTCAATTTACAGATAGGGAAACTGAGGCCCAGAAAGGCCTAGTGATTTGCTCAGGGTTATACAGGTGGGAACTTGTTAGGAGCATTAAAAACCCAAATGCATGGTACCCTCCTCGCTTTGAACCGGGTCAATCTTACCTACGATAGTTCTCAAAGCTTTCTTTAATACGGCGCCGTTCCTTCTCTTGTGGATCCCCATTGCTCAGTCCACCTCCCTAGAAAGAAAAAAAAAGAGTAAAGTGGAAGTAAGTGCAAGTGAGGTGGGTCTGGGCTAAAAACTGGTACCATTTCAGTGAGTCATGAATGAGGAGGATGTGGATTCCATCTTGTTTCTTTTTTTCTTCCCCTCTTCTAGTCCCTCTCCCGTGGTCAGTCCTATAGTCTGTTACTCCAGCCATGAATCTCTTGTTCAGCTCAGATGAGTTGGTCAGAGAAAGACCTCTGAAGGTTTGGTTTTGGTTTTTTTTTTAAACAAGCATTTATTAAGCACCTACTATGTTCCAGGTACTGTGCTAAGCACAGATCTCATTTGATCTTCACAACAACCCTGGGAGGTAGGTGCTGTTATTATCCCCTTTTTACAGATGTGGAAACAGGCAAAGTATTTCCCAGGGTCACACAGATAGTAAATGTGTAGATAATAAGGCTGGATTCTATACACTGTACCACTCTATATAAATTTGAAGGAAGTGAAGGTTGTATTATTATCCTTAGTAGATACTTAGGAAGTACTTCTCAGAGTGTGACCCTGTTCATTGGATCATATATTTAGAATTGGAAGGGGCCCTAGAAACCATCTAGTCAGCCCCTTTATTTTGGGCAAATGACATGCCCAGGTTCAATCAGCTAGTAAGTAGTGGAACTGGGATAAAGGCCCTTTGACTCCAAATCCAACTCTTTAACTGTAAAGGCCTGTACTAAAGGAGCTCATAATCACAAGCATAATTACACATAGGTACAAATGTAAACACAGATCACAAGCATGAACAGAAGTATTTCCAACATATGTCTATAAAGACCCCAAACTGCACACATCAACACACACACACACACACACACACACACGTACAATCCCACATGTACACCAATGTACACACAAGAATGACATGTATGAGCTAAGATCTAGCCCTGGGGAAGCTTGCATTTAGTCTCAATTCATCCTGGAGTCACTCAGTTTCTCTTACATTTTGGGCCAGAAAAAGCTTCTCCTTTGTGGTGGCGAAGGGCTGTTCTAGGAGCCTCTCCTTAGCTGGATGATCTGAAACATATAATTGGTCCCACAGTCTCATTAGATTATGGGACTGGCCATGAAATCCAATAAGCCCCCTTCACACTCCCAGTCTCCTATCAGCAAGCCAGATAGAATAGGATGATATTAACAATAGAAAAAATTTATATAGTGCTTTAAAAATGTTACCTCATTTGATACTTATAAAACCCTTAGGGGATATGTATATTATTCTCATATTACAGATGAGCAAACTGAGCTTGAAACAGCACAAGTGACTTATCCAGGGTCAAGTGACTTAGTATCTGAGGAAGGATTTGAACTCAGGTCTTCCTGACTCCAAGTCCAGCACTCTATCCACCACACCACATAGGTTCCTCTATTCCCCAAAAGGGTCAAAGACCAAGGGAAAGGATCCCTGTGAATATTTGTAGCAGCACCTTTATTTTGTAACAGCAAAGAACTGGAATCAAGGTAGGTACAAAAAATGGATAAACTCTCCCTCCTCATCTCTACCTCCTGGCTTCTCTGCCTTCTTCCCAAGTCCAGCTAAAATCCCATCTTCTACAAAATTCCACTTACTGATAGTGCTTTCTTTCTACAGACTATCTCCAATTCATCTGGTTTATGTTTGCACATTGCCTCCTCCATTAGACTGTGAGTTCCTCGAGGGCCTTTCTGGGTATCCCCAGAGCTTAGCACAATAAATGCTTGTTGATTGATAGACTGACATGAAGGGAATAGAATATTGTCATGCCAGGATAAATGAGCAGCACTGTTGCATTATGGGTAGAAAACAACCCTTGGAGTCAGAAGAGACCTGGGTTTCAGTCCAGCTTCTGACACAAAAGCTGTGGGACCAAGGGCTAGGCATGGCCTCTCTGTGCTCAGGCAACTCTGTGAGACTCTCAGTCACCAAGCAGCTGCCAGTCTGCATTGGTCAGAGGGAGTCTCCTCACTGGGGATTATTTATACCAATGGAATCACAGGTCTGGTTAAAAAAAAAAAGAAGAATTTACAAATTCAGCAAGCTGTACTGAAGACATAAAATGAAATGTACATTTACTGACACAGTCAACAGGTTGATTTGTCTTGCTTGACTTTACTTATTTGTTACAAGGAAGGTTTCAGGAGGTGAGGAGTTAGTGAGAAGAGACAGATACAAAAAAAAAGAAAATACTATCGATAACATTAAAAATAAAGAGAAAAAATCAAAAAATGAAACTATATAGAAGGAACAAACGAAGTTCAGAAAGGGACACAAACAGGATGGTTTTATGACTACTTTGCTCAATTTGTCCTTTCTGAGAATAAGCTAGGCACTGGATAGATTGCTGAGATGGACTCAAAGTCCTGAGTTCAAATCCAGCCTCAAACACTAGTTGTGTAACCCTGGGCAAGTCATTTAACCTCTGTTTGCCTCAGCTTTTTCAGTTGTAAAAATAGGGATGATAATAGCACCTACCCTTCAGGGTTGCTGTGAAGATCAGATAGGATATTCAGAAAGAGTGCTTAGCATAGTGCCTGGCATATAACAAGTGCTAGGTAAATGTGTGGGTTTTTTCTTTTTAAAATTATACAGTTCATTGCTTCACACACAATTCTCTTTTTTATTCTTTATATATTGGAATGATTGTTGAAGGCTGTTATATTCATAATGAAAAAGAACTTTTTTTTTTTTACAAAAGGAAAAAAACAAACAAACCCAAAACATTGTGTCTGGCTGGGCAGGAGATCCAGAAGCAAAAATATTCCCTTATTATCACACTCCCCATAGTGGCTGTTCCAAATTTCTTTTCGACTAAGGTTCTCTCTAACATTGGTTCTTCCCACCCTTTCAATAGAATACCTCACCTCCTGTTTTACTGAGAAAACAAGATTCATCCATCTTTCTCTTCTACTTCCCATCTCAAAACCTACATTTTCCATTTCCTCTTCCTTTGTCCCAGTCTTTGAAGAGGTGACCCTCCTCCTTGTCAATGCCAACCTCTCTGTTTATGCCCTTGATGCCCTCTCTTCTGTCATCCAGAAGCTCACTGATTCAATTACTCCTTCTCTTTCTTTCTCTCATTTTCAACTTCTCTTTTTTTATTGGTTCTTTCCATGCTCGCTACAAACCCATGCCCACGTCTTCCTCATTCTCAAAAAACAAAACAAAACAAAAAACCCTCATTTGACCCTGCCAGCTTCTCAAGGCATTATATAAAATGATACCTTCTCCCTTCCATAATCAAATTCCAAGAAAAAAGTGATCTACACTTGTTACTTCCACCTCCCGACCTCCCACTCATGCCTTGCAATATGACTTTTGGCCCCACAATTCAACTGGACCGTATCTCTATCCAATCAAATCTTATTGATTTTACCTCTACAACAGCCATGGTGCCTTTCCCCTCTTTTCCACTCACGTGGCCATCACTCTGTAGTTCAGGACCTTACCACCTTTCACCTGAGTTATTGAAACACTCTCCTTTTTTTCAGCCTCTTCCTTTTTCTAATCCATCCCCTATACAGGTGCCAAAATATTTTAAGTCTGTGCATGTCTACTTTTTGCTCCAAGAGCTTCAATGGCTCCCAGTTTCCTCTAGGACAAAATTCAGAGTCTTCATCTGTTCATTTACAGACCTCCATGATCTGGCTCCAATTTGCCTTCCCTGACTTATTTCATCCTATTCCCCAAAATACTTTCTTCATTTCAGCCAAACTGGAATGCTAGCTATTCCGCTCTCTAGGCTGTTGTCCCCCATGCCTACAATTCACTGAGTACCTCATCTCTGCCCCCAGAATCCCCAGCTTCCCTCAAGGCTTAGCTCTGGCACCCTGTTAGTACCAACTCCCTCCTCAAATGACCTTGTCTTTACTTACCTCTTACAACTTGTTTCCTCCTCACCCCCAATCCCACCCACAGTGGAATATGTGCTCTCTGAGGGCAAGGACCATTTATTTCACTTTTCATCTTTGTATCCCCAACACCTAACATAGTCCCTTGCACATAGTAGGCATCTATTGAATCCTTGTTGAATTGAACTGAATTGGGTATAATTTAACCATCTTCAGACATTTTCTGATAACATTGGTCTCTTCCCCATTGGTTGCCATTTTTTAGTAAAGATGTTAATAAATTTGTGTGTTCAGAGGAAGATGAACAAAGTGGTGAGGAAACTAGAGATTAACCAATCAATCAATTTAATAAACATATATTACACAACTATTATGTGCCAGGCAATCTTAGGCTCTGGATACGAAGACAAAAAAACCAACAAAACAATCTCTGCCCTAAGAGAGCTTACATTCTATGGGAGGTGGACTCTATGACAATGTATACAAACAAAATAGACACAAATACAAATATTTTTGCAGGGCACTAGTAACTGGGAACATCGAAGAAGGCTTCATGTAGGAGGTGATACCTGAGCTGAGCTCTGAAGGGAGCTAGGGATTTCAAGAAGTGGAGGTGAGGAGTTCATCTAAGTGTAAGGGGTAGTCTGTGCAAAAACACCTGAAGATCATGCTGTCTGAGGACTGGTGGGGGGGAACTGGGGCTGTTTTGCCCCAAGAAGAGTTAGGAGGGGACATAATGACTGCTTCTAAGTATTAAAAGTCCATCATTTGGAAGAGCAATTAGAATTGTTTTCCTTGGCCCCAGAGAACACAGCAAGAAACATCCAGTGGAAGTTGCAACATGGTTGCTTTAAGCTAAATGTCAGGAAAAAAAACGTTGAAACAACGAGAGCTACCCTAAAGACAAAGGGGCTTCTTCCGGTCTCTGGAGGTTCTCAAGTAAAAGGCTAGATGACCGCTTCCTGGGAAAGAAGCAGAAGTGGCAGGAACATCCACATCTATAGGAATGGGTTGAAATAGATGAGTCTCTGAGGTCCCATCCCACTCTGAGATTGTGATCACGTCCCCTCTTTCCTCTGGTCCCCTCATAGTGTGCTTTCTCCTAGCAGGAGATCATGGTTTAGAAGGAGCTGTGCATGCTGGAAGGACTGAGAAGTCCATACCACAAGCAGCCTTCCCCGGACCGTGACCCCTAGGGCTCAGATCTGCAGCCTTCTCAGAGCCCTGCCAAACAAGAAGTCACCCTCAGAATGGGTATTCCTCCAGGCCAAAGATGCTATTTCCTCCTGCCCTAGGACACACATCTCCCAGGCTATGCTGGTCAACTCTGTGCCTGCTTCCATTCTTCCTCAAACCCTCCTGCTATGACCAGACAGTCCAGCTGTTGTAGGAAGGAGTAAAACTCAATTCCTGTCTGGTTCCCCTCCTGGACACAGCTGAGTAACAGCTGATCAGCCAGTTATCCTCCACCCTGGCGTTTCTCTTTTTGACACCTTCACTCCGTGTGGTGGGGGAAATGTGAATGGTTCCCCTTTTAACTCCTCTGTCTTTAGCAATCAGAGGCAATGTCACACATGGACAGATATGTGAAATGGAGGAAATTGGTTCACAGGCCTTTGCTACTTCCCACCACCACCCACCCCCAGTTGCTGCCAAGATGGAAAGAATGTGTCAAAAATCATACTAAAAGTGAAAGTGACTGATAGTCATGACTTTGCAACTTCTCCCTCCTTGGGGTAATTAATTGCAATTGAACCAGGCTTTCAATGTCTTAACCCAAGGAAGTGACTCTAATGGTAGTATTTTAGGCATCAGTAACAGGCTGGTAGAGGCATGAGAAGGAATGGGAGTCCTAGGTCCTCTCAGTTCATACCACATTACCAATTCTACCTATATATAAGTCTGGCTCTTCTAATCTCCCAAGGTGGTTCCTTAGTCACACAGGATGACCACAGGATTTAAGGTGAAAGAGACCTTAGACAGAGATCAGTTAGTCCAGTTCTCTCATTAAAGAAACCGAGTCCCAGGGAGACTGAGTTACTTGCCCAAAGACAAACAGGTAGTAGATGTCAGAGTGGGATTTGAACACCTGGGTCCTCTGACTACAGAGCTAGTGCTCTTTCTACTGTACCACACTGCTGGGGCACTGAAGTGTAGAGACGGGCTCACTTTTGTTGGAGAGCTGTGCATCCTCCTCCAGGTCCCTGGGAAGAGTTAACTTTGAGAAAGAGACAAATAGTGTAGTTTAGACTTCAATACCGGTCCTCCCCCATAACCTCAAACTGGGTTTCAATCATTTCCACCAACTTTGTCCCCTTTCAGACTCTCTCCAAGGTACACCTCCCACCATATCTACTGATACATTTGAGACCCTCCAAAATGTGATGTAACAAGACCCCAGGAATGTGAAACAGGTGTACCCAGAGAGAAGTGAGGGCCTTCACTCTTGGCATCCAATGGACCACCATGATAGGGAGCTTTTCTTTTTTTGTGCCTGTGACTGAACCATAACCTCTCTGAATTATAAATCCAGTAGCTTGTCCCTTCTACACCTCTACTAGCCTGGACCAACCTCCAAACTTCCCACTGGCATAGTATTTTCTGCTTTGAAAAGTGCTTTCTCACATGACTTTCCTCAGTTCCCCCCAAATCCCCAGGAGGCAAAGAGTATCAAAGCTTAGAGATAAGGGAGAGGGTTTTAGGCTTGGATGCAGCAGAGAACTGGATTCTAATTCTGGCTTTGCCATTTATAGTGGTGTCTTATAAATAATAGACCCTTAAATCTTTGTTAAATCAAACTGAATTCTGAGCTGTGTGATCATGAAGAAGACATTTCACTCCTCTAATCCTGATTTGTAAAATGGGAATAATATTTTTACTAACCACCTCACAGGGGAGACTTTATAAACCTTAAAGCGCTATGGAAATGTGTTGTGGCTCTTATTTTGAAGGAGGAATGGAAGCTCCAAAGCAGAGTGATTTGCCCAAGGTCTCACAGCTATTAGATGGCAGAGCTGGGACCAGAATTCAGGTCTTCTTCTGACTCTAAAGTCCTTGCTTTTTATATGACAGCCATTGCCCTGTCCTTCTGGGCCAATAGTTAGACATCAACAAACCTTTTTTAGAGCCTGACCCCAGAAATGAGGAAGGAGAAAGGTGGCTCCCAACTAGCTCCTGGTCTAGGCAAAGCTGTGGGTCTGGTGAGGAAGCAAAGGGTAATACTCAGAATTAAAGAAATCATGGCACTCACCTCCTGAGAATTCCTGGGCGAGCTGTCATCTAAGTCTGAACTCTAGGTCACAAGAAAAGAGAGAAAACTTGTCAGGGCCTTTATCCCTCCTGGATATACCTTCAGTGTGTGAGGAGGGGGTGGTAGAGAAGGGAATTGGCTTGGGACAGTAGACAGCACGATGGGGCTTGGGATACAAAGGCAAACCATTCACAGACATTCTTAAAAACCATTAAAAAAATACAGAAGGGAAGAAGAAAGAAAATACTGCCCATGCAATATTCCTAATTCTGTAGTAAGGGGTTCTTAACCTGGGGACCATGAACTTGGCTTTTAAAAATATTTTGATTGGCTTCCTTTGTAATCCTATGTATTTCATTTAACAGATTTGAAAACTTGTTGCCTTATCTCCCACGATTCATGGTCACATACCTTCCATTCAGCTTGCCCCCACCCCTCAACACACACACACCAGGCTAATAATACCTGCCTCCTCCTGCCCTGATTCACATCATTCCCCCTGACTTTCCTGTTCTGTCCTCCCACCATGCTCCCTGCTTCTCCCTGTTGGACCTTCCCCTCTGTACCTATCTCATACACACCTACTTATATGTTGTCTTCCTCATTAGAATGTAAGCTCCTTGAAGGCGAGGACTGTTTTTGCTTTTCTTGTGTCCCCCAGAATTTAGCACAGAGCTTGGCACATAACAATAAATGCCTGTTGGTTTATTGGTTGCCTATAATTGCCAGCACAGGGCAACTTTGACCTCCTGCTGCCAACCCAATCTTCCAATTGGGATGTGGAGAATCTCTGGCATAAGAAGAGTAATCTTTCCTTGGACTTCAAGCATCCCATCTCCTGCTATGCCCGTGCTTTGCCCTCCTCTCAATGGTGAACATTCTCACACATGGTCACACCCTTCATATACCAGGGACTGAACTCCTATAGGTCATTATCCAAACCCCATTCTACACTACCCACCACCCAATTCTTCATTCCTATCCCCCTCAACCTGCCTACCTCAAAGTTTTAACTTAACTCCACCCAGCCCTTCCACTGTGTCTCCTGGAATGCCCATTCCTTAGATAACAAACTTCCCTTCATCTTAAATCTTCTCCTCTTCCATCTACTAGCTCTTGCTGAGACCTGGCTTGCCCCTTATGACACAGCCTTCCTGACCACCCTTTCCAGTACTAACTACACCTTCTCTCATTTCCCTCTGCTCACTGATCAAGGAGGGAAGTTGGAATGCTCTTGCTCTCCATTGTCACTTCCAGGTTCTCCCCCTTCCTCCATCACTCAGTAATCTCTCCTCTTTTGAGGTTCATCATTCTTCTCTACCCACCTCCCACATGAAAATCCTGGTAGCTTGATTCCAGACTCCTAGATCACTCTCCTTGCTTTTCAGTGAGTTCAGTACATGTACATGGCTTACAATTTTCCTCTCCTCCCCTTGATTGCCCTCATACTAGGATACTTCAATATACATACTGACTCTCCCTCAAATATCCTAGCCACTCAGTTTCTCAACCAACTCACTTCCCATGAGCTGCAACTCTACCCCTCCCCCGCCACACACCAAGACAGTCATACCCTCAGTCTTTCCATCACCTACAACTATACCACCTCTATGTTCAAGAATTCGGAAATCCTTTTACTGACCATAATCTATTGGCTTTTCACCTCTTCCTCTGCCTTCCCTTACACAACCCTACTCTTCCTCACCATTACCTCTATTCTCTTGACCCCTCAATTCCTTCCTAGGCCATCTCCCTTCATTAGCCACCCTCTTCTCCATATCTTGACTCTTTGGTGAACCAATTCAATTCTACACTATCATCTGCTCTTGAATTCCTATCTGGCTGCATCTTCTCTCTCTCCTTGGCTGGACTCTCATCTAGATCACACTAACTGTAGGTATCTCTCAGGATTTTGTACTGGAATTTCTCCTCTTCTTCTTCTGTACTACTTCACTGGGATCTCATCAGCTCCCATGGATTTGATTACCATCTCTCTGCTGATGATTCTCAAATCTAGCTATCCTACTCCAAATTCTCTGCTGACCTCCAGTCTCCCATCTCCAATTACCTCTCAGACATCTCAAACTAGATGTTTAGTAGACATCTTACACTCAACTTGTCCAAAACAAAATTCAATATCTTTTCCCAAAAACTCTTCCCTCGACACCAGCCTAACTTCCTTATTACTGTAGAGGGCAACATCATCCAGTCTCTCAGGCTGTCATCCTAAGATACAATCCTAGATTTCTCATTATCTCATCCCCCTTACCTAAGGCCGGTTCATTTCATCTTTGCAGCATCTCTTGTATATGCCCCTTTCTCTTCTCTGACATCATCACCACCCTAGTGCAGGTCCTCACCTTCTTACATTTGGACTACTGCAATAGTCTTCTGGTGGTTCTGTCTGCCTCAAGTCTCTCCCCACTGCAATCCATTCTCCATTCAGCCACTAGTGATTTTCCTAAAGTATGGGTCTGACTAAGTCTCACACACACACACACACACACACACACACACACAGAGGAAATTCCACTGGTTCCATATTGCTTCCAGGATCAAATGTAAAATGCTCTATTTGACATTCAATGCCCTTCATAACCTAGCCCCCTCCTATCCCTCTAGTCTTCTTATGCCTCACTCCCCAACAAGTACTCTGATCCAATGACATTGGTCTCCTGGCTGTTGCAGAAACAAGACATTCCATGTCTCAACTCCAGGCATTTTTTCCATCTGACCCCCATGCCTGGAACACTCTCCTTCCTATGCTCTGACTACTGATCTCCCTGGCTTTTATATTCTACAGGAAGGTAACCATAACCTCTCTTAACTCCAGTGCCTTCCCTCTATTAATTATTTCCTACTTATCCTGTATATAGCTTTCTTTGTATGTATTTGTTTGCATGCTGTCTCTCCCATTAAACTGCAAGCTCCTTGAGGGCATCCTTGTCTTTTGCCACTTTTTGCACCCTCAGTGCTTAGCATAGTGCCTGGCATGTAGCAGGTCTTAATGAATATTGATTGACTGACTGATTAAATATCTTCTCCCCTCTTTTCTATTTACCAATTCCCAATTCTTTCTATCCTTTAAAGCTCTCAACTTATTCTCTGATTCCTTCCCAAATTAAATTTAGTACTTAATTACACACTACTTCCTATTGTCCCCTTATTTTGTTTACACGTTCACTGACAGCCAGCTTTGTGTGAGGACCCTATACTAGGGATTGTTTCTCTTGTGGGTCAGTCTTGTCTTCCCTACTGTATTATAAGCTTCTCCCTTCAGTTTCCCCTTCTCTTTCATCTCCCCTTTAATGACAAACACTGAGCTGGGCTCATAGAAGGTCCCAGTATAGTTGGTTGAATCATTCATTCAACTGTTGATAAAGTACTTACTATGTTCCAAGCTCGAGATACAAAGAAAGGCAAAAGGATGAAAAAAGTCCCTAGCCCAAGGAGTTTACGTATAATGGGAAAGATAACCTGTAAATAAGTAGGTTTGCACAAGAGAAATGAATAGTAGAAAGACCATACCCTTATAGGAGAAGGCACAGGTAGCTGGGGGGAAGAGAATTGAGGAGAGGGAAGACCAGGAAGGCTCCTAATGGTAATATTTGAACTGATTCTTGAAGGAAGCCAGGGATGTCAAGAGGTGAGGAGGGAAAGCTTTCTAGGCAGAGGGGACAGCCAGTGCAAAGGCAGGGAGGCAGGAGATGGTGTCATATATGAGGAACAGCAAGTAGGCTAATATTACTATGGGTTTGTAGAGAGTAAGGAGGGGAGTAAAGTGTGAAAACACTAGAAAGATAGGGCAGGATCAAGTGGTGAAGAGCCTTGAATTCCAAGGAGAGGATTTTATATTTGATTCTGGGGGTAACAGGGATCTGCTGGAATTTATTGAGGGAATGAGAGTTACATGATCAGACTTATGGTTTATGATGGAAACACTGGAGGCAGGGAGTCAAATTAGGAGGCTTTTATGTAGACCAGTCAAGAGGTGATGAGGGCCTGAACTATCGTTGTGTCAAAAAGTCTTAGCGTATCAGCTGTAGAATGAACTAGATCAACCTCTCCATTTCATAGATAGGGAAACTGAGACCCCTGGAGGGGTAGCGGCTTGCCATGGTCATAGGTGAGTTAGCAGCAGAGGCAGAACTAGAACCTAGATCCCTGGACTCTCCAAGAAGTGTCCTCAGTCATGACTGACTGATAAAAAGTAGACCCCAGAGGTAAGAGAATCCTGGGGTTGTGGGACATGACGAAGTAACTGAGCCCATTCCCTGGCCTTTGGGAAGGACCATAACTACATCCGCCAGGTCTGGAGAGGAGAGTTCTGGGAGCCCAGACGCTACCGCTCCCCCAGTGAAAACGTACCAGAATGGGCGTCTCCGACTGCAGCCGCTTCAGCTTGCTCTCCATGGACAGTACCTGCCCCTCTTTCTTAAACAGCCGTAACTGCAGCTCATCATACTTTTCACCCAGCTCCCGGATCTGCTTCCGGAGCTCGTCCTTCTCCTTCAGGCTATTCGAATGCTGCAGGTGGAACTCCTCCCTTGTCATGATGGCCTGGGGGGCGGGGAGGAAGGGTCGCACAAACAGAAGAGCCGTCCCCGTGCCCAGGATACGGTCCTCGACCCCCCAGGAGGCACCGCAGCTGCCCAAATGTATCCTGACCTCTGGACAGACAGGCCTCAGAGGCTGACTTCCCTAGTGACGACACTGGAGCCAACTTTGTTATTGTTGTTTCGGTTCTAGCAGAGTCTTCCTGACCCCTTTTGAGGTTTTCTTGGCAAAGACACTAGAGTGGTTGGCCATTTCCCTCTCCACCTCATTTTACAGATGAGGAAACTGAGGCAAACAGGGTTAAGTGACTTGCTCAGGGTCACATAGCTGGTAAGTGTCTGAGGCTGGATTTGAACTCATGAAGAGGAGTCTTCCTGACTCCAGGCCTGGTGCACTGAGCCACCCTAGCTGTCCTATTTGGATAGGAGGGTTCATTATATGGAAGATAGTGTAGAAAGAGCACTAGCTCCGGAGTCCGAGGACCAAGGTTCGAATCCTGCCTCTGGCACTCATAACTGTGTGACTCTGGCCATGTCACAATCTCCCTTGACCTGAGTTTCTCCATATATAAAATGAGGGAGTTGAACTAGAGGTCCTCTGAGGTCCCTTCCAGCTCTGGAACCATTATGAAAATATCTTTTTTTAAAAACAGATATAGGATACTAGTGCCGGAAGGAAGGCCAATAATTTTAGCCCCTTCATCATATACATGGGAAAACTAGACCAGAAGAAGGGGAAATGACTTTCCCAGGGCTACAAAGCCTGAGTGATACCAGAACCCAGGTCCCCCGAATCAATATCCATTGTTATTTTGATTGCCCCTCATTCCCTTTCTCATGAGGCAGAACATTTTCCCAATCTCAGACAGATGAGAAAAGTCCTCAGATCATAGAATGAGAGCCAGAAGGGACTTCAGAGGTCATCTCATCTCCCACCACCATCCTGAGGAGACTAACTCGCCCAAACTCACACAGCTGAGTGGCAGACCCAGGATTCAGACCCAGGGCCTTTCTTCCCCTTTCACTACATAACTCTCCCCGTGATCAAAGGCCTCTGCACGTTGAAGGCTTCAGGTTGGGGTGGGGGAAGAGGAATTGGGCACAGCACCACTGCCTCTACTCTGCCTGGGAGAACCCCGCCGTCCCCTGCCAGAGATGGAGCACTCTTGCGAAGGAGACCCCGTGCCTCATTCATTTCATTAAGAAATCAGCTTAACCTCCCCCTGGCATTTTCTGATCACGATGTGCAGGTGCCTCGGAACACCAACTTCATTTCTTCTACCAGCACTTTCAGGTGCTGGCTGTCAGGAGACAGGCCTGGGTGGCCTGACTGCACATACCTGGTCCCTTTCTATAGCTACTTCCTCCATCTGCTGCAAGATAGCTTCAATGCGTTCTTTGTACATCTTGGAATCCTTACGCAGGGCCATGCCCTGCAGCTCAAACATCTCCTTCTCTTCTATGCTCTAAGGAGAAAAGGGAAGTCATTGGAGTCAGTGAGTTTCTGGCCCCACCTCTTTCCCCAACTTCTCTGAGCACAATAAAAGGAAAGATGAAGTCTAAACCAAGCTTTTCCCTTTTCCTCACCCCTCGCCCCTAGACCAACAATTCTGTAAGAAGGTAGGTGGCATCATTCCCACAAGTAGCGTGACAGATTAAGGAAGGGAAAATAGGAAGTAAGAACAGGAAAAGGAGGGTATGGGGGCAGGAGGGAATGAAACTGTTTAAAAATGAGGTTGCTGTGTGCGAAGACAGCTTATATTCTTATGTATACATCCTTATGTATACATATACATATAGGTGGAGGAGGTAGCCCCCTCACCTACTTTTTATTGATTTGAGGTATCCCAGGAAGGCCCCATACTCACAAGGATCTCCCTACCTCAATCTGTCCCAGTACCTGAAGCCCGCAATTATTGCTTCATTCGATGGGCATTCAGTACTGCCCTCTTCTGACTTCTCTTTTAAGATACAAATCCCCCTTAAAAGGGTCATATATTCAGTCCCTCATACTTCAGTAGGAAGGAGTTTGTGAGGGGTGAAGGGGAAGGGAAGAAAAAAAGAGAGCTGAAAGGCAGGAGAAAAGTATGCAGAGATTAATTTTACAGGAACCAAAGACAAGTAATGGGTATAAAAGTGCTTTAAAGAGTTAAAAGAGCCAATATAACTTATGTTTCATATTTCTATTTTTATTAAATATACTAAACATATAACATATTAGACATATAAGATATTTATATTTACTTGATGAATTCTATTATATTTAAATATATACAAATAGAAATATTTTGTTTTATATTTGAATTATTAAATATATAATAATATATTATAAAATATATTAAACCTATAATATAGCAAATATATTATTAGATATTTAAATATTTATATTTTCTTGATGAATTCTATTATATTTTAATACAAATGTAAATGATTTTGTTTTATATTTATATTTTATTAAATATATTAAGCATTCAATATGTTAAATCTATTACTAATTTTACATTTATATTTCCTCAATGATTTCTATTGTATTTAAATACACACAGATATACATTGTTTTATTATTTTACCTAGTGTTCCCTGGCTGTTGGCAAAGTAAACCAATGAGTTAGACTTGAATAGTTCAGAGCCATGCAACTGACAGGATGTGAATAAATAAAAAAGGACAGAGAAGAGCCAGCCAGAGCTTGCTCGCTCCCTCCCTCCCTCCCTCCTCAGGAGAAGGTGAAGCCATCTCTTCTCCCAAGGTGCAGCTCCTCACAGAACCTCAGAGTTGGAAGGAATCTCACAGCCGTCCAATTCAACCAACACTCTTTTGGTTGACTCTTTTCTAGGATATTCCCAACAAATGCCCATCAAGTCTCCACTCAGAACCCTCCGTCAAGAGAGAATCTCCTTCCTGAGTGGCTGGTGGGGCCTTGGACGGCTCTATCTGTTACCAAGCTTTTCCTTACATCAATTCTAAATCTGTCTCTTCAACCTCCAGTCTTTCTTCCCCATTCTGGGGCCAAGCTCCTATCTGAGAAGGGTCCAATGTGAGAAATGGCACTCAGGAGGCCTTGACTACCTGACTGACCCCAGGACTGGCCAGAGTGGTCAGTGTCTGTGTCCAAAGTCACCACAGCTGAACTCTGGGTTGGCCCGTTTCGGGACAAGTGGCCAAGCCTTAGAGGTGACCCTGCTCTGAGGAGGACATAGCCTAATCCTCCAAGGCCTCAGTCAGCCCACCTTGTTCCGAAGTGCCTCAGCCTGCCGCAGCTCCTTTCGTAGGTGGAAAATTATGTTTTCCTTTTCCTGGTGATCCTTCAGAGTCTGCCTCCAGTCTTCCTCCAGAATCTGGATGTAAGCATTATTCTTGTCCCACCTTCCTGCCTGAATGATGTGGGGGCCAGGAGGGAGGTAACAGCTTAATAATCATAATCATTTGCATTTCAGCAAACCTTTTGATATAAATAGCATAAATATTATTATCCCCATTTTATAGATAAGAAAACTGAGGCAGAGAGAAGGCAAATGGACTTATCTGAGGTCATTTAGACAGTGGTCGAGCTAGGACATGACTCAGATCATAAGAATCAAGGATCTTAGATTTAGAGGCATAAAGGACATTGGAAATCATCCAATCCAACCCGTTCATCTTACAGAGAAGGAAACTGAAGCCCATAGAGATTATATGACTTATCCAAGGTCACACAGATAGTAAGTGGCAGAGCCAGAATTTGAACCCAGGTCCTCTGACTCTACCAGTACTCCTTCCACTGAATCATGCTGCTTGATCCCAAAACAAGTAGACAGGTCTGCCACTTAAAAATATCTCCCTATACCCACCCATCCCAGTACATGAAATCCTACCATTCGTGATTAATTTTTTTTAATCTTTCTGCTATACCAACAGTGGCCTTCAAGTCTGGAGTGGTCTGTAGGAGACATTAGGAGAGACTGAGGTAGTTAGGAACTGGGGGGGGGAGGGGGAGGAGACTTTCCCTCAGAAGACAATGGGAAATGTGTCCTGAAAGGGGGCAAGGAGGAACCCTCCCCAAGGGCCCTTTCTTGAACGAGGTAAGTGAGAGGGGTGCAGCACATTTAAGGAAGGCATCCAGGCCAACCATCTCCTCATTTCCCATCTGGTTATACTCTGTTGGACTTTCCCATCATGCCTCAGAGCTGGTACCTTCTCTTGCTTTTTCCCTTTGTAGCTTCTTGTATAGCTTCTTCTCCCATTAGATTGTAAGTTCTTTGAGGGCAGGATTTTTTTTTTTAAGTATTTGTATCCCCAGCTAGGTGGCAGGGTAGATAGTGCTCAGCCTAGAGTCAGGAAGACTCACCTTTCTGAGTTCAGATCTGGCCTCAGACACTTACTAGTTGTGTGACCCTGGGCAAATCACTTAACCCTGTTTGCCTCAGTTTCCTCATCTGTAAATTGGGCTAGAGAAGAAAACCATACCAGTATGTTTGCTAAGGAAACCCCAGATGGGGTCATGGAGAATCAGACACAGCTAAACAAAACAAACAGAAAAAGTTTCCCCAGCATTTAGCACAATGCCTGGCACATAGTAGGATCTTAGTAAATGTTTACTGGCTGACTGACTGACTGCTGTCCAGTGAGTGGATTGGTCTCCTGGAGATCACAGGGTTTAGAGATGAAAGAACTGTTTGAAGCAGGGAGGGCATTTTTGTAGTCCAGGGCTGCATTTCTCAATCTTGAAAAAGGTCAGTTTGTGAAAAGTGAACCTTGCCTCTTCTTCAGTGCCCAGAAATCCACTAGGATTCAGGGCAATGAGAGCAGAGAAAGGAAGGACCCCAAGGACTGATTTTGCCAACTTCACATATTCATTATGGGGGTGGCTCTGGGCAGTACCTACTCTACCTTTCTGATTTCACACTGCCAAAAGAACGCCCAGGAACCCAAGATGCCATTCATTTGATAAACATTTATTAAGCACTTACTGTGTGCCAGGCACTATGCTAAGCACTGGAGATACAAAAAGAGGTAAAAGATAGGCCCTGTCCTAAAGAAGCTTAAAATCTAATATTCTGAAGAGTCATCTATTCATTTATTTATTTCAAGATATATTTGTTGAGCAGCTAAAGCACTAAACTTGGCTTGCAGAAGATCTGGCTTTGAACAGCGACATTTCTTAGCTGCGTGACCCTGAGCAAGTCACGTCACATTTCTGAGTTTCATTTTCCTCATCTGTAAAAAATGGGGCTAATATTACTTGCACTACCCACCTGACAAACATTTGAGGAAAATGCTTTGACGACTTTAAAGCACCATCAAAATGTCAGTAAGTTAATACCATTATTACTATTATTTCTCTATTTAAGTCTACTCTGATGTCTCTTCATGGCTTATACTTCACCTTGGGTTCCTGAAAGCTATGCCAGAAGGATGCAAGCTCTGGTGAGTTGTGTGAATCTGGGAAGGCTTCCAGGAAAGGACCAGTAAGGGAACGTACACCTGTTCAAGATTCATCACCAGAAAGCTGGTAGTGCATTTTTGGGGGGCAGGGAAGGGAAGGGGAAGGGGTTTTAAGAACTCTAAAAACCATCTTCCAAGTCACAGAGAGGCTATGAGCTACATTAGCAGGTGGGGGGCTGCAGGAAGTTAGGGTTAGGGCCGTGAAATAAAAAATCTTTGACACCAAAATAGGATGTAATAATAATAATGACTATTATTATTAATATTGTCAGGAAAAGTGTGGGAAGTATAAAGACATATAAGATATGGGTCCTACCCTTAGGAGGCTTGTGATCTGGTTAATTTGTGATATGGGTCTTTGAGCTTTCAGGGGGATCCAAAACTATAATATTCTTCTGCCTTTTTAAAAAAATTGAATTTTATTTCATGTTTAGGTCGTTGTTCTTTCTGTTCTGTTTCTCCCACCACCACCACCAAAACTGAGAAAGCAAAAATAAATAAGTAAATAAATAAAACCCCTGTTCCAAAAATATGCAGTCAAGCAAAACAAACTGCCCCATTTGCCATGTCCCGAAAAATATGTTTCCATCGATGCTCTGAGTCTATCACTTCTCTATCAGGAAGTGAGTAGCACATTTTCATCATGAGTACTTTGGAATTATGGTTAGTCATTTGTGGATCAGAATTCCTAAGTCTGTCTTGGTAAAGACAGAATGGTTTGTCTTAGCAATATTGTTGTTATTCCGTAAATGGTTCCAGTTCTTCTCACTTCACTTTGCTTCAGTTCATACAAGTCTTCCCAAGCTTCTCTGAAACCATCCCCTTCATCATTTCTTATAGCACCATAGTATTCCATCATATTCATGTATCAAAACTTGTTCAGCCATCCTCCAATTGATTGGTACCCCCTCAGTTTCCAATTCGTTGTCATCACAAAAAGAGCTGCTAGAAATATTTTGTACATATGAATATTCCCTCTGCCCTGGAGATCATTCCCCAAAGATATCACCATGGTATTCTCTTAATTCTTCTCCGAATAAGACTCCAACCCTTGGAGCCAGGTAGCTGACCTACCTTCATGGAGCTCTCCAGTTCTTGGACCTTTGCTTGAAGAAGATCCTTCTCCTGCTGGATCTCCCACATAACCTCCTGACTTGGCCTCTGCTCCATAGCATGCCTGAGTTTCATCGTGTGCTTCCTCTCTACCTTGCAGTCATCCTCAGCCTTCATCAGGTTGTGCTTTAGTCGGTCTATCTGCAAGAGGATCATTCACCCCCATGAGATTCTTCCCATACCCTCTAGGACACTCCAGTTCTTGCTGGTTTTGCCTCTGCTCCCTGAGAGGTCAAAGAGGAAAAGACTTTCACTCACCTTGCAAATTGTTACATCTGCTCCCACCTTGGCTTTTACCCAGAAACAATTGCCATGGTGCCTCTGTTGGGCCTGGAAGGCTACTTGATGACAGCATGTGAATGGCACTGCTGGGATGAAAGTTACCTATTGGCTAGGGAGCTACTCTAGTTTCAAAGTGTCAGAGAGGATCAAACCCCACCCCCTGTAGACCATCCTGACAACTAGGAAAAACGGGAGACCAACAAAGACATATACACATTAAATCAAGATAGGCTCAGAGTCTGAGATAGAGACACCAATAAATGAACCTAGATTCAGAGGCAGACAAAAAGATAGAGATAGACCTATAGATCCAGAAACAGACCCAGAGATGGACATAGGAACTGATCTAGGCCCAGAGGCAGAAATAACCCCCAACCTAGAGTTAGACAAACAGAAATGGAGGAATTGACATTGTGAGACACAGAGCCAGAGGGAGACCTAGAGACAGACAAATCTAACCCCAGGGACAGCCAGAACATGCAAGGGGCAGGAGATGGGCGCACCTCAAGCTGAAGGTCACGGTTTCTCATGAGTGCAGTGTTTTTTTCCTCACTCTGCCTGGCGTAGAGCATGGCCAAGTCATAGTTCTCATCCTTGCACCTCTTGAGCTCCCGGCTAAAGGCCTCACAATCATCCTTCATCTTCTGCACCCGTTCCTGGTGCTTACGTAGCATGCTGTCCTTCACCCGCATTTCCTTGATAAAGTCATCTTTGGCACTCAGCATCACGCTCAGATCGTGCACCTTCTTCTGCAGCTTCATGACTTCATTCATGAGCAGCTGTGTCAGGCCTGACTCCCCAGAAGCATCTGTCCAGCCACAGGGATTGTCAAACACACAGTTATGTCTCTCTTGGCCCAAGCCCATCTTCCCACCCCACTCTACCCTCCATTTTTCTGTCAACAGAGGCTCACACATGTACCCATTATTCATAATTGTATACAGTTAATAACTTTTCCTGCTTCAGAGAAAACAAAGGCATAACACCCTCCTTAGGAGGCCAGGTAGAAGGTTTAAGAATCAAGACCATTTTGGCTCCATTTCCTCCCTCATGAAAAATCACAAATATAACAGCTTTCAGATCCTCCTAGGAGATCCACCAAGAACTAGTGGGCCTCTTGCAGATTAGTGTTTTAACACTTTCAACGGCTATACTGCCCATTTCAGAGATGGGAAAACCAAGGCCCTGCATGATCATCTCTATGACTTGATTTAGTAAGTATATGTCATTACCCTTTTCCAATATGCTTAGAGTACTGAAAATGAAGTATTAGTTTAATGATCAGAAGACCTGAGTCCAAACCTCAGCTCGAACAATGAATAGCTATGTAAATATGGACATCCCAACCTCTTTGAACTACAATTTCTTTATCTGTAAAATGGGGATGGTATTACTCGGGGTCTATCTACCTTACACAGTTGTTGTAAGAAAAGTGCTTTAATATGGCAAACATGGAAATATGTTTTGCATGACTTCACATGTAGAATGGGTATCATATTGCTTGCCTTCTCAATAGGTGAAGAAGGGGTGGGAGGGAAAGAATTTGAAACTCAAAAGTTTTTAAATGAATTTCTTTTAAAGAAAGAAAAGTGCTTTTAAATCTTAAAGTGGAGAAATGGGAGCTATTAACATTGCCTGTTTTCATTCATTAACAAAAAAAAAAAGGGACTCAAGATTCTTATGTGAGGCAGCATTCATCTTCCAAACACCCCTACCCAAGGCAAGACACTTAAATACATTTTGCACATAAGAAAACTCAAGCAAAGAGAGATTGGATGTTATGGTTGAGAAAGGGACTCTTGTCCATCTGATCAACCTTCTAAATGGCTGCTAAACAAGGCCTACCCCCACCCCACCCTAAATAACCTAAAGGTAACATCGCTTTGTAGAAAACTCTCTGGATTATTCATGTCCTCAGACTCTTTCATTAGCATGGACAAATGAAGATCAGTTAAAAGTACCAATCGTGTACTGCTGTGTAGAACTTTTTTTTTTTAGTGAGGCAATCGGGGTTAAGTGACTTGCCCAAGGTCACACAGCTAGTACCTGTCAAGTGTTTGGTCTGAGGCCGGATTTGAACTCAGGTCCTCCTGACTTCAGGGCCGGTGCTCTATCCACTGAGCCACCTAGCTGCCCCCTCCTGTATAAAACTTTTAAATCTCAGAATGTTTTTATCTCCATTAACTCACATGATGTTCACAATAGTGCTGGGAGGTAGGCAGGAATTATAATCTCCATTTTACAGAGTGGGAAATTGAAACCCTGAGAGTTTAGATTATTTGGCCAACCTCACAGATAGTCAGCAACAGAGAGAAGACTGGAACTCAAGACTCCTGGCTAACCTTAAACCACCGCTCCTTCTACTACTCCAAGCTGAGCCAGCTCTCCTTACTCTCTGAACCAACCTTACCTATTATCATGGAGAAGACCCTGGTGGGTTCCTTCCCAGTGACTTTCTTATATAGCTGTGGGTAATAAAGTTCTAGACTCTCCAGGAAGGCCACATACCCATTGTGACCAGTCCTTTGGAGGATGTCCAAAAGAACACCTAAAAAACAGAGAGAATAAAAAAAAAACAACACAAAAACAGAGAGAATTAGAAGTAAGACCAGAGACAATTTTCCTAAAACATGTTCCCCTTGGACAGAGCTGAGCTGTGTTCTGAAATGCTTGGTTTGGACCAGAAACTGTCCAAGCCTGGGTACTTGAAGCCCATGGTACATCAGCTACCTTCCAGGAATGCTCCAAGGCCAAATGTCTACAGATGTGTAGCAAATTTTCAAGGGAAGCTGCCGCTTCGCACAGCTGATCTGCGCCAATGACCCCCACGTTGGAATGGGGGTGGATAGGCATGGTTAGAGAAGGAGGGCAATACTGACCTACTTTCCTTTTTCGAATGACCAGGTTAGGATCATTGAGAACTTGTTCCTCGTCATCAAGGTTAATGACCTTACACTGTCGGAGGTATGGTGTGATCCTGGAAGGGTCAATGACGGAGATAAGCTTCACCCGAAAGCTCTCGAGCATATTCCAACATTCCTCATCATTTTCATAGTCTGACATGGTGGAGGGAAGACGATTTTCTGGGAAACACCCGCAGCCACAGGAGAGAGCCAAACAGAAGCTGGACAAAGCACCTGTGGGCAGGTATGAAGAACTTCAAATCCTTTGTAACACTGTCCACTCCTCAAAGACCACAGAGGTGTAAGGACTTACAGTGGTGAAGGACCATAGAGAAAATCTAACCAGCCAGTCCTCCCATTTTGCAGACAAGGAAAACTGAGACAGACACTGCCAGCAGTTACCTGAAGAAAGGTATGTATCGGCAGAGCCATAACTAAGAATTCTGGCTTCTGAAGCATAGTCAGTTAAATGAGTGGGGTCTTAGATGTAATGATTCCCGCGCATGGTTAGGGTAACCTAGAGACAGAGATCATGGGAGGGGAGGAGAGTGAAGACATAGAAAGCCAAGATGCTGGGGGGGGTGGGGCAGGGCTGGAAGGGAAGGGAAGAGAATTACCCTGAGCCAGGTACTGAACTTATTGGGAGTGGGAGGGAGTGAGAATATGGTCCCTAAATGGCAGCAAAAGGGTCCAGATAGGATACAATGAACTTTAAAGAAAGAGCACAGGGGCAGCTACATGGTGAAGTAGATAGAGCACCTGCCCTGGATTCAGGAGGACCTGAGTTCAAATCTGGCCTCAGACATTTGACACTTACTAGCTGTATGACCCTAGGCAAGTCACTTGACCCCACTGTCTCACAAAAAAAAAAAGGGAAAATAAAGAGTGTAAAGGTGGGAAAGGTGATTGCTCAGTAACAACGGCAGAGGAAGAGTCAGAGAAAATAAGGGTGGAGAAGAAAGATGAGGGCATCTTTTCTTCTTGGTCCTTGGTTATCTAGGGGCAAGAGGGAAAGAGTATCTGGCCTTGAAAATGGCACCAAGAGATGTGGTGTCTTCAGGAGAAAGCTACTCCTGGTAATGAGTAGCAGGAGAAGGAAGTTTGAGAGGAGGACCCCTAGAATGAAGGGGAGTTTGTTAACAATAAAAGACAATTCTAGAGGGCGCAATGGGAAGGGAGGACAGAGGATGCATAGGGACTGAGGGTTAGGGCTGGCTGAGTTTACTAAGTGGAGATGGAAAGACCTATCTGATGCTCCTCCTTCCCCCCACTCCAGCATCTGTGTGGTGCAGGCTCCAGGTCAGGCCACACCATAGGGAATATCCATCCAGATGGGAATGTGGGCCCCAGAAGACAGACTTGACAGTTATTTGAACCTGAGGATGAGTGTATATCTGCACAGAGGCTGGTCATGGGATTAGATTGGCAAGCTGGTGTTCTGCCAGACAGGAGGAAGCAAATTATCTTACATGATGGTACTTGGGGCAAAATTGCCTGTACTAGTTTCAGCTCTGGGGAGTCAGACACAGAAATGCAAAAAGGGGTGCTAAAGAGCTTCAGAGAGCCTTCACTGGAAGGCCTGTACGCACTTAAAATGGAAAACTTGTCCATTAACAGTGTATGAATGTGTGAGGCCCCTGGATGATCACCATGGGGATATTATGAGTATGGAGGATCTTTATAACATGTCAATCAGTTTGCTAATCAATTGCCCTTATATTGCACTAAGGAGATGGTTTTGAAAAACTAGCTGAAAAAAAGGCCCTCAACTGCTAATATCCTTTGACCCACAGATCCCATTACCAGGTATATATATCCCAACAAAAAGGTAAACAGAATAGTATTGTGCCATAAGAAACAATGAATATGAGGAGATTCAGAGATGAGATTTGAAGTGATGCAGACTGAAGTAAGCAGATCCAAGAAAACACTATCTAAAATGCCAACAATGATTAAACAAAAAGAACATTAAAATAAAGCCAAACACTCATAATTATAGTGCCCAATCTTGGCCCTATAGAAGAAATTTGGAAATAATTCCCTCTACTTCTGTTAGAGATATGGGAAGCTATGGAGGTGGATTGTAGGCACTTATGTTGGGAGATGTGGCCACCATATTGGTTAGTTTTGCTTAATCATTTTTCTTTGCTCTAATGGACATCACTGAAATGGAGGGTGGAGGAGAAGTATATCTGGAAATGACTCTTAAAAACTGAAAGTATTGGGGCAGCTAGATGGCGCAGTGAACAGAGCACCGGCCCTGAAGTCAGGAGGACCTGAGTTCAAATCCGGCCTCAGACCAAACACTTGACACTTACTAGCTGTGTGACCCTGGGCAAGTCACTTAACCCCAATTGCCTAAAAGCAAAAAAACCAAAACAAAAAATAAAAACTGAAAGTATCACTAAAATTTACTTTAGAAAAACAAAGCATAGTTCTGTCAGTTCAATTCTTTTCTTTCAGTTTTGTTAATCTTTTATGTTCAGAATTTCTATTTTCATGTTTAGTTCCTCTCCATGATGTGCTCTTGACTCTCCGAACTGTACTTTCTCTACCATGCAATAGAAACTTCATCACCCAGGGAAGCTAAGCTCACTCCACCTCTGCACTTCACATTTGGAAGTAACTCTGTATCTTCTGTTTGGCTGGTTCCTCCTAGAACCTTTATTTTAAGGAGATCACCCCAGGCCAACTATGTCTTCCTTCCTTTCTAAGCTACACTCCTGACTCTCCTAGACTTTCTCTAGCTTAACACCTTTCTCTTCTCTACCCTGATGCTCTTCAGCTTGGTAGACTATGAGCTGCTTGAGAGCAGGGATTATCTTTCTGCATGTATTTGTATTCTCAGTGCTTAGCACAGTGCCTGGCATATAGTAAATAAACACTTAATAAATGCTTGTTGATTTCTTTTCATTTGTTTATACTCTAGTTTTTTTCTTTAGCAGCATATCCAATTTGTTTATTTCTTCTTTCTCTCTTTTGTTGAGGTTTAGTAATATAAAAGAATTCCTTTGGCTACATCCCCCTAATTTTGGTATGTTGTCTCATTATTGTCATTCACTCTGATGAAATTATGTGTTGTTTCTCTGATTTGTTCTTTGACCCACAAACTCTTCAAGCTTAAGTTATTTAGTCATCATTTAAGTTTGACTTCTTTCACAAAAAGCCTTCTGTTAATTATAATTTTTATTGTGGTATGGTTGAATCAAGGATGTTTTTATTATTTTTGCTTTTCTGCATTTGTTTCTGAGGTTTCTAATGCCTTAGGCACAAGGACAATGATTATAAAAGTGCCAGGCATAGCTGAGAACATTTTAAATTCCTTCCTATTGCTATTCACTAATCCTGAAAGATCGATCATGTGGTACCTCATTTTTCTAAAGTCCTTAGCTCTTTTCTTGTTTATCTTTTTTTGTTAAATCTGTCTTTGTTTGAGAGGAGTACACTGAAGTTCCCAAAACGACTTTGCTATTGCATCTTGTAATCCTATTAACTTTTCTGGTTTTTTTTTTAGATGCCAGTATTCGTACACATTAAATATTGATGTTGCTTCATTATCTATAGTGTTTTTAAGCATAATGCAGTTTCTTTGGGGCACCTGAAGCATCCTATTAGCTTGCATTTACGTAATACTTTATGTACACATGTCCATGCATGTGTTTTCAACCTCCTTTGTCCAGTTCAGACGAAAGTGAGCTTCACATGATGCCCACTTCCGTTTCCTTTTCCTCTATTTTTACGCTCTTCTCAAACACCTCAATCATGGGACATAGATAAGAAGGTCTCTGATGCTGCTCGTTGAGTTGATAATTTTCGACATGGTGCCCTTTTTGGATCACTGCTGGGGTGTATGTGGGAGAGCTGGGCCTCCTCGGTGCCGTTTCATGATGCTGCTCTCTCCTCTTACCTGTCCAAACACTTCTCAATCTCCTTCGCTGGATCATCATCCATGTCTTGTTCTCTAACTCTGAGAAAAGATAATCCCAGTCCTCAAGCTGCTGAAATGCCCATTCATTGTTCCTTCTCCTGGTCAAGCAGGACAATGCTATAATCCCTATTTTATGACTTCCTTTAGATTCCTGAATACAGTGATTTTGTCTGCCCTAAGATTTTTCTTCTCTACACTAAATGTCCTCAGCATTTTGTATGCTGCAAGTAGAATGTACGTGCAGGATACTACCAGGACCTCACACAATGCCTTGCTGAACAGAATTCAAACAAATCTTGCATGGCATGGTGATCCTCTAACTCTGCTCTGAATCCTCTCCAATTTGCCAGTGGCCTTCTTAAAGTGTAGAGCACAGGACTAAATGCAAAATCTCACTCTTGGTCTGACCAAGGCAAATGACTGTAGGACCATTCTGTCTCTCTTAATGCTGCTTTAGAGGATCCGTTTCAGAGTTGGGAGGAGGAGAAGGGTTGATGAAAAATGTTTTTAAAGTGGGTAATGTGGAAGGGTCTGGATGCTTCTGTGCTTTCCCAGCCCAAAGAGGCAATGTGAGTATAGCATTGAGACATACCCTTTCATAACGGACCACCAGAAAAGCAATCCTCGGTTCAAGGAATCCCCTGGTTCCATATTTACTCATGATCATAGCCTAGGAGTCTCTACCAGAGGACACAATTAGTTAAAAGTAAAGATGGCTAATGAAATAGAAGAAAAGAGGAACAAGAGAAAGGGGAAGAGGAAGAGAAGAGAAGAGATCCCTTCTCTGGAAACTTTATGGCTTAATCTCCTAAAAATATCTCATTATTAGTTGGAAGAGTGGACATGCAGAGGGGACACATACATAGGGAACATTCATTGTCTGGCCAGGACATCTGATTCTTCCCATTGGACACTGTGTCATATATACCTACCAATTTCTGTCTCTTGGCTTGCCATTTCTTTTACATGTCAAGTAAGTCCCTCCCTCACCTTCAGTCTATCCACAGGGCTTTGACTAGTGTCCCAGGTATCTGTCCTTACCATTTCTTCCTCATCCAGGCCTTGGGGAAAGAAATTATAGGAAACCGCTGATTTAATTCTCTAACACACAGTTGGGGAACGTGATTAGACTAGCCGAAATCCAGAGTTGGAGAGAAGAGTGGTTGGGGAAAGGTTTCCCTAGAGGGCAATGGGAACATTCTGCCCCCTTGGCACTTTGGGAGCAGGGGTGAGAAAAACAAAGGGAACTTCTTTGGTGAACAACGCTAGTGAGTGCAGAATCTGAAGTCAGAAGATGGGAGGGCAG